CAGACACTGCTGTGCCACGTGATCCGGTGTGGGCGATCACACTGCAGCCTGGGAGTGCATGTTTGCTGTGCAACTGACTTCAATGCCCCGCTCCAGAAGGCAGTGAGCCGCTTGGGATGTGATCCAGTGCATTCCAGCACTGAATTGTGCCGCAACGCACCGGGGCTGGTGTGAACTAGCGCTTAGGGTTTACTTCTATCTTAATGCAGTATATTGCAAAATACTCCTCTCTGAATACTGTGGAACTCAATTTCCCTGAATCTGTTACTCCACCAGTTTGAAAAAGTCACAAGCTGCAAGAGAATGTTTTACCAGGGTTAGGGTGACAAGGAAACCCCTTTCAGCCGACATAAGAATTAAACGTAACAACACCATGACTGTGTATGAAATTCACCTTTACGCTCCTCACACTCTGAAACCCAAGTGGCAACCAAAGCAAAAACATCCACAAAGATCACCGTTGCATTCTTTGGTAACGGTTTTCTATGTAAATAGCTCCTAACGAAACCAGTCCAAACTCAACACAGCGCGTAAGTCAACCTCCATCCAAGAAAATCAGGAATTCTCAGAAATCTCCGGACTTTAATCCAAATTTGGCAACACAAATACAAACGTTAAAACGATATAAATGGCGAACAAATATTTTTTCGACTTGAGCTCTGGCGCTTACTGATAGCTGTTACTTTGTTTTGAAAGTATTTTTGGGCAGCTGATTTAGGATTAGCCACGGATGAAACGTTATGTACACTTTCAGACTTCCACCAAGTTGAATGTCCTTTGGTTATATTGGGATTCTACGAGGGTAGATGACTTTCCAGGCAAATATTCCGGCTTAAATCCCCCGTGTTTGAGAATGGCTCAGGTCTAATGAGAGACAGACTGCACCCTAATCCTCCCTCAGCAACAAGTCGTACATCTAGCACCTCCAGACAGGAAAAAAAAGCTCTGAGCTGTGGATGGGACACGGTGCAGGTGGCTCGGTATCCTGTGAGGTATTGAGCTGGGATCTCTCCAAAAACTCGGAGACCGAGATAAAATAAACACTTTTTATATTGCTTTAAGGCCTAAAAGGCGTCAAGCTTTCAGTTCATGTCATTGGGTTTCATTTTAAGAATGCTCGGATCTCGATGACATTTGCAAGTCTGCACAAAATAGACTTGTTAGGTTTCAAACTGCGCAGATGTGCCGGAAACGATTCATTTTATTACCAAAATACTTTTCTGTATAAAGAGAAAAATAAATCGCAAGTGATAAAACCTTTTAATTGAGCCTTTCAATGCTTACTAAACCAGATCTACAGAACGAATGTAAACAAGGTATAGTCCCAAGGGGGGCTCATAGCGTAGCCGAAATACAGATGAGGACCAATTTGTTGGCACCTTCACGGCTCATTCCTCCTGAAGAGTGATTAAATCTAAGCAATTGTCGCATATATACCTGAACGTCTTTGGTATATCATACAGTAAAGCAAAGAAACTGTGGAAGATACATTATTGCTCATTCTACAAACATTGTAAAATGTCCAGGACAGATTTGTTGGTTCCCCCTAGAAACAAATTATAAAGAATTGGATCACAGTGATATCTCTGTGAAGCTGGCCATACACCTTACAACCATCGCACGACTTTCGTTGTGCGATGGTTGTAAGGTCATTAAAATCTCGTACGATCTGCCCATCTTGGACAGGCAGATCGTAATTGCAATCATCGCAAGCCCTCCCCGACGAGGGGAGGGCTTCCGATGATTCCAATGCTGAGCGGGCAGTGTGCGCTTGTGCACACCGGCCCGTTCGGCATTTGTCTTCCGAGCACGCCACTAACCAGGTTTTCAAGCGTGCTCGGAAGACAAAAGACGTGCGACCGTACAGTAGAAACGGTCGCACGCCTTCCATACACCTGCCGATTAATTAGTATCACACACGTCTTCAATATTGTAACCAGACTATTAAAATGGAGAAACGTTGTCACTTTGCTGCTTGGGATCATCTGCACCACACTGTACGTGGACCAAAGAACATTGTCTGAGGAGATCAGAAAGAACTTCATAGACCAGGACAAAGCTAAAGGCTGCGAGACCAACATTGTGCTCGATCTTCTGTACAGCCCGGCTTGGGACGGATGAGACACGAGGCACTGGGAGTGCAGCTCTCCTGCCTCACTGATTACAGAGCAGGTCAGGGAACCGATGTTCTCCGGTCTGCTCCCCGCTCTCCATCCTGAAATCATTGCCGTGGTCCAGGACCCCGAAAAAGGGGGGGGGGGCACAAAAGGAGTGGCGGCTCGATTCAGTTGGGCTAAATGTAGAAAGTAAACACCTGCCCGGCACCTGGAACTGCATGTTTTTAAGGGAGAACCCCAAGGAAAAAAAAGTGGGTTTCCCCCATCACATCAGACCTTTTTTCTCCCATCAGAATCCCCCCTTTCATATCAGGAGCCCCAACTTCACAATCAGGAAGGAGCCTCCAACTGCTTTTAAATCAGTCAACCCAACTACGATCTCCCCTTCACAACAAACATTCTCTACTTTAAAAGACCCCCCTTTCAACTCAGAGTTCCCCATTTACATCAAAAGCCCACCCCCCCACATGCATCA